CTTTTTTTTTTTTTATGTGTTAATGTGAACTTAGTTATCCCTAGTTCCCAACACCATTATTATTTTGTTTGCTCTATATGCTAAAATCATATTTGTTGTATTGGCTTAGGTATTTGCTGAGGCATTACAAAGTGATATTTCTCAGCTGCTCAATGCTTTACGAACATTAGGCGTGAAGGCAGATGTTAACATTCAAGAGTTTGCTGGAAAAGAAACACTCTTGTCTTAAGACTCGACTAGTTGAATTTATGCATAGGTTTCCGCTTCTAACGGTGACAGAGTCCAGGCATTTTGTAGTCGTGCATGTTGTTGGAGCAATTGAAAACGCCCCTTGCTGTTTTTTTGGTTAAATTCGTGGGAGTTACGGAACATAAAATGCAATATGAAACTTGAAAGTCAATATTTTCTTGGCTTTTTTCTACAAGTTGTAGCATTGAATTCATGCTTGAACTTTATATCTTGTTCTTCCATTGTTTCAAATAGCATGCTATGTAGCTCGCTATAGTGTGCTATAGAGTTTTTTTCTTTTTTTAAAAAAAAAAAAAACGTGACGTAGCGATATTTTATTGTTTTTCTCGAAAAACTTACGCGAAATGTTGAAATGACATGTTTTTTACGCTATTTTGCGCTATTTTACGTTACTTCACGCTATTTTGATCTATATTCCTGCAACGATATTTAAACAATAAAATATTCAAAAATTTGTATTTTTTAGAGATTTGAGTCATATTTTACAACTAAAAGCTAAAAATTTTGATAATGATTTCAAATTAAAAGTTTGAAAATGCAAAGTCCTAAGTTAAATATTGCAATATTTATCGGTTTAGTTCTACTATATTATTTTATTTTTCGGTACTTGACATTTAAATTAAAGAATAAAAAGTTCAGATTTAGTGGTTATAATTAAGTTGTAGTTGAATTAAAGAATAATTAAAATGTAAATATTTAAAGTTAAACTATGACTTATCTTATTATATTTTTGTTGTTTGTTTTTACTTTTAGTATATTCAATTTATTTTTTAAAGTATTCATAGTAAGATATTTACATTAAAAATTAGTGAGAAATAGTTCTAAAATGTTATTTTTGAATTCATTCACATATCATGTTAATTTTTGGAATCATCCATCCAATTTTATTATATGCCTATATATATATATATATATATATATATATATATATATATATATATATGTATCTGTATATAATATCTTTATAAAAATATTTTTTTATACCCAAATAGCTTTCGCAACACGCAAAACTAGTTACGGTATGTGATATAAAGACCAAAACGCGACGCATTTCGCTATAGACATTTGATGCGCATGAGGGTCGTCATTTGAAGAATGCTTACAATCGGGCTCGATGTGCACGACTTAAAGAACAATAAGTGGCCTATTGCTAGAAAGTCGTCCGTAGAAAAGAAGCAACCCAAAAGAAATGTGTAGTGTAACCCTTGAGCATAACAATTCAAACAGTGCATAGGCCTCTAACTCGGTTCATTCTCTCTTTCCTTTCTTGTGCTATCCATATAATTCAAATAGTCTGGGACATCATACTGGTTCATCACCTACAACTCAACTATGAGGAAAAGCACTTACTCGATTCAAAATTTAACAATGTGATGCTTGAATGCAAACATGATCCCTCGTTGCGAGATCATTAATTATAAAGATCATAGAGAACAAAAGAGGGATTGTTCTAATCAATAAAAACACTAGTGGTTGGTATAACCTGATATGCGCTATGCATTAGGAAACAATGAAATTCGGATCACATTTCTGGAAAGCCTCTTCAGAGAATATACAATAGAAAAATTGATTTGTTGTTTTAAACAATGGCAGTGGAAACTACTCTAATCCATGTGAGGAGAAAAAAAAAAAAAATTACTTGCCGTTGTAATCCTCTCAATTAAATCCAACAATGTTTCAATTATATGGAAGGAGTTGTTTAACAGATAATGATCAGTTGTTTAACAGATTCTTTTAATGTATTCATTTTAGAAAAACACAAAATTTCGAGACCACCTCCAGCATATGCTGACAAGGATCATTCTTTAAGTAGTGGAGCTTTTGCTCTTTTGGATATTCTTAATGGGTGCCTCAACTAACTCAGGAATATATTCTACACCAACAACACGACCTTGTTCTTCATTTTACAGACAAGACACTCCACAAGAAAGTAAGAAGAAAATGCGAACTTCAAGCTGCCAAATAAATGAAAATTCTATATGAAAGCCATCAAACTACTTAAAAGTCAAGTATTAAGATCAAAGAAAAAAGCAGGCCGGTGTAGAGTGCCGGCCAAAGAGGACAACAAGGTCGAGTGCGTCTAATTGATCATTCCCTGGGAACCTTCTCTGTCTATCATGGTCTACTATTGTTTGATGATGCCTTTAAATCAACAGAAACATGTACTTCACTGAAAATGACAATGACAAATATATAACTCCAAAGATAATGATGAATACGAAGTGCACTAACCTTTACCTAAAAATAAATAATCACACCAAATGACAAACCAATTAGCATGTAAACTTAAACATTAAATAAAACGACAACTATTTCATGATGTATTTCTAGTTAGACGGTGTGAACCAAAAACAACCCTTATTTAATAGAAAATACAGTGCCACAATTTTGTCCAGGATCAACCATTTTGCTAGTCTAGGTATGGATATTGGTCACCCATCGACGACTTAGACGTTTTGTCCACCTCATATGTTGCCAGCATATTAGCTTCTCAATTAAGAACAAAAGAGGTTATAAGTAATTCTTGTGAGTATGACATTGAAGCCAAGGTGGGAAGACTAGCATGCACCATTGGTTGAATATATGTGGCACTTTCATGTGATTTAGAGGATGTCGTATTAGTTTGTTTTGACGAGACCTACATAGTAAGTATTGTGTACAAATTGTTATATTACCGAGTACCGAATCGAAGGATTCGTTTCCCGGGTCGATCTCTCGAGGAAGGCGGTTCGGAATTTAGAATTGGTATTGATAACACAAAAAAGAAAAATAAATCCTAAACACTCTAATCGGATTGGGGAGGAATTAACTATCAACTAAGAAATAGCATAAAAGCATAAATCTTAAAATACCAACTAAATAATAATAAAGAAACTAGGGAATCGGGGAGATCCGTTTTGGTTCGAATTGCAATTAATGGGCAGGTGATTGTTCAGCTAAGTGATTTGAATAATCGACACGTTCGAGTACTCATTCTCAATAACTTTTCGTAACAAGAGAACAAACTAGAACGGCAAATTAACAATTCATTTAACTCCTAGGCAATACAGTTACGAACAAGCCTAGTTCATACGAGCCTATTTCGACCGACTCCTCCCCTTTCAGTTCTGAGAGTCGATTAAAGTAGACTAGAGGGTGATTAACCGACTAATCAATTAGATTCCCAATTTCAAGCACGAATAAATCAAATTCAATTGAAACAATTGTAAGTTGAAGTGTCACCCTTCAACAATTATCAATACTCAAGCCTGATAATTGAAGAACCATAATAAAAGATTAACTCGCATGGAAAGAACAATCAACGAATGCCCACAATCACAAACGATTTCAAAACATCAATCCCCTATCCCTAGCATATGAATTTAGCCACTCATCATCAATTCAACATCAACATCAATATCAATCAAAGCCATCATCATCACAGATAAAATGAAATAGAAAGCTTACAATTAAATATGAATCCAATGTCGAAAGAACAACGAACAATCCAAATCCACGAGTCAAATCTTGGTGTTTTCACAATCCAAGATCAATTCCAAGTGAAAGATAAGAGAAAACTGAGTTCTGGGGTGAAAAAGTACGAGAGCCAACTCAAAACCTAAGTGGAACGTCCCCCAAAACTGATCAAAATCGCGAAATAAAAATCCTGCTGTCGCGACCTCCGCGGCCGCGACTTCCTCCTCCGCGGCCGCGGGATTTTCATTGCTGAAATTTGGGACCTGGCAGCTTTTCTTCGCCGCGGCCGCGGCGAAGAAAGGGTCGCGGCCGCGGAGACCAAAATCTGCACTGCACCATCTTACGATTTTTGCTCGTTCGGGTTCGTTTTAACTCAGAATTGAGTTCCGTTTTTTCCTACGTGTCGCTAACGAACCCCTCTATCTAATGGTGTCAGCTTCCCCACAAGATTCTCGAAAACCTGTTCTCCCGAGGTCTTCAAACTACACACCAAAAACGAAAAGAGAACAGAAAAAGACCGGAAAACAAACGGAAAACATCGCAACACTCAAATGAACGCAAAACACATAATAAATGACAAAATGATCCTAAAACCATCTAAATGACTCAATATGAGGGACAAAATAACAACGAAAAACGCAACAAAAATGGGACAAACAACTCCCCCACACTTAAACCTTTGTTCGTCCCGAACAAAAAGAAAAGAAAAGAAAACAAGACACGAACATGGATATCGATTTCATACAAGAAGAGCCTCAGAAATATTTAACTCAACCGGGTTGAATTCCAACGATTGTATGACCATATGCCTCAAATATCAACTTGGCCTCAAAATGACAAACTCTCAAATACAGAAATATTAGTGTATGCCTCACTCATTCTTTTACATGAATATATGATAGGTTCTCTCAGATTGGTCAATATTCAAGTTTCAACATATGCTTGCCAATCGTTTAAATTACTCAGAAACAATCAAAGCTCAAAACTTGCGGATCAAGAGGACTTCACGGGTTGTAATGTAGGCTATTTGGTTCAAGGTAAGGATATATAAAGGAAAAGAAGCTCAAATACACAATCACAATTCTCGAGCAAATAGATTACTCGAGTTCTCCGCTACTCAACCAGAATAATCATGACAACACACTTACTACCCAACCAACATTCCTCAAACAACACATAGATGCTCAGAGCAAGTTGCAACATCATCACTTAACCTTATTTTTTTCTTTTTCTCTTTTTTTTTTTTATTTTATTTGGAGAGTAACTTTTTCCCAACAAGATTGAATCAAAAGGACAACATTCTGTAGGTGTGAACATTGGAGGTCATCCAAGTTTCCTACAGTAGTTTCCCAATGCTCATTACCTGTCAAAATGAATCGACTAGTAAGAGGAGCAGAATCCATTCGATTCGTCTTGTGAACTCTCAAAGTTTTTTTTTTTTTTTCTTTGAATGGTCAAGCAAACAAAATGCAACTCAATGTCCACCATATTCAGAAATGCCACCAATCACCCAATCATCACACAAATCAGTCAACAGGTTGACAAGAAAAGGTTTTAAGCTCAAACGGGCTACTAGTGGAATAATAAATAGGGCCAAAGAACAAGGCAGAAGTGAGCTATTCAAACAAAACGCCTCAATCACATTCGCAATTTCAAACTCTAATAGATTCCTTTCAAACAAACTCAAGGCAAGTTCTAATCATTCAAGAATATGACCAATATCTCACAAGAAAGAAGAGTTAGGCTCAAAACCTCACAAGGTAAATAAATGTCACTCAAAGCAATCAAGCAATATCGAGGCAATGATCAACACAATCGTCATCACAACTTCCCAATTTCATCAAACATCCATCAACAAATCATATAATCCACCAATACCATGCTCAACAACACAAAAACCTAAACTAGCCCGGCCCACCATATAAGCATGCAAAAATCCGAATAACTCCCCCACACTTAAAATGAGGCAATGTCCTCATTGCTTCAACACGAAACAGGAAGTTAAATAAAGGACCTAGCACTCTCACATGATGAACCAAACTTAGCAACTACGACAGCAACGCAAGACTCAAAAGCAAAGACAGAGGAAAGAACAACTCAAAAAAGATAAAAAGAAAAGGAAAAAAAGGGTGTGCAAACCGAAAATGCCTCGAGGAGATAAGCATCCACATATGAGCTACTCGTCCACGCTCCACTCTGGACCTCGATGTTCGTCCTGCTCAAGCTCGCTAACTCATTCCTGCCAAGAAAAACACAGAAACTCCAAACTCCCATTATTCAAAGAATAAATCTAAAAAGCATAAAGAAAATATCTAGGAAAGCAATAAATCACTTGGGTTGCCTCCCAAGAAGCGCTTGTTTAACGTCATTAGCTTGACGAAACTTGCGAGGAACTCAGCCAGGGTCCAAGAAGAAATGGCGATCATGCCACGCCTTCGTATTTTCCAGAAGTGGCAGCATGGGAAGGGTGGCAAGAAGGCGGGCATGGTGGATCCGGGTGGCTATGTTCTGTATGAAGTGGTCTCGGGCACGAGCAATCCCCAATTCTAAACGCAGAGCTTTTCCCACGCGAGCTCTGTCGTCAACCTCCGGGATGATAAGGATATCTGTGGAGCAAGTCGAACTGAATTCTCCCCACTTCGTAACACAGTGCAACGGCCTCGAAGAAGGATGCTCCAACTCGAAGGTGGGAGGTGGGACTTGAGAATCAAGCCCATGGATCTCCTCTTCTGAAATATCATCAACGTCTGGCTGGAGCTCATCATCTTCTTCTTCGACCTCACACATTTGTTTCATCGTACGGGCTTGAGTATCAAGCATGAAGTGGGGGTCGGCGACTTGTGCCTCGATTGAGTCGATGTGTGCTGTAAGAATCTCCGTTTCTGTGCCCAGTCCAGCACATCTGAGCTCAATCTCCACATCTCGAGTGGCCTGGGCAGATATGTGAGCAAGGATGAGATCGAGCTTTTCATCGTATGTCAAAGCAGCCTCCCGAGGTTCATCTCTATGTATAGATTCGCCTTGAGTGGTGGGCTCGGGAGTGACATTGTTAACTCGATCCTCTAATGCTTGCACGCGCTCCACAAGGTTCTCGATTTTGGACTCAATATTGCTCCTACGGGCCGCTTGGGAGGCTAAAAGAGCGAGGGCCTGGTCGAGCTTGGCATTGTACTCTGATGAGTCCTCGAGGGACTCACATGACTGCTCAACAGGTAAAGACTCCCATTGCTGCTCGTAAGGATATGACCAAGTCTGGCCATAGTCCCAAGAATCATGGTATGGAGGTGACTGATGCGCATGCCTACACCGGGTTGCGGTCTCTTCATCCTGAGCTAACCGGGATGACGCGAATTCATAGATACGGTCGAGCTTCTCGTTGAACTTGTGGGACTCATAAGCTTGCCCGACTGTGTGGAGATCCCAGTACTGCTCGGAAGAATATGAATATGATTGGTTGTGGTACCCGGTGTGATAGCTCGGCTCGTAACCCCAAGGTTGGGTGTGCGGATAGGGAAAAGTACGGTTGAAGTTCATATCTCCTGCACATCAAAATAGAACAACCACACGTAGCCACGAAAAAGAAGGAAAAAGAAGACAAAAACAAAGAAGACAAAAAGAAAAACAAATATGCACAAAAGAGAAAACAAAAATCCCAAAAACAAAAAACAAAGAGAAACACGGAAAATTAAATCAATACCAAAACTAAATATCCTACTTGCCTTCCCCGGCAACGGCGCCAAATCTATTGTGTACAAATTGTTATATTACCGAGTACCGAATCGAAGGATTCGTTTCCCGGGTCGATCTCTCGAGGAAGGCGGTTCGGAATTTAGAATTGGTATTGATAACACAAAAAAGAAAAATAAATCCTAAACACTCTAATCGGATTGGGGAGGAATTAACTATCAACTAAGAAATAGCATAAAAGCATAAATCTTAAAATACCAACTAAATAATAATAAAGAAACTAGGGAATCGGGGAGATCCGTTTTGGTTCGAATTGCAATTAATGGGCAGGTGATTGTTCAGCTAAGTGATTTGAATAATCGACACGTTCGAGTACTCATTCTCAATAACTTTTCGTAACAAGAGAACAAACTAGAACGGCAAATTAACAATTCATTTAACTCCTAGGCAATACAGTTACGAACAAGTCTAGTTCATACGAGCCTATTTCGACCGACTCCTCCCCTTTCAGTTCTGAGAGTCGATTAAAGTAGACTAGAGGGTGATTAACCGACTAATCAATTAGATTCCCAATTTCAAGCACGAATAAATCAAATTCAATTGAAACAATTGTAAGTTGAAGTGTCACCCTTCAACAATTATCAATACTCAAGCCTGATAATTGAAGAACCATAATAAAAGATTAACTCGCATGGAAAGAACAATCAACGAATGCCCACAATCACAAACGATTTCAAAACATCAATCCCCTATCCCTAGCATATGAATTTAGCCACTCATCATCAATTCAACATCAACATCAATATCAATCAAAGCCATCATCATCACAGATAAAATGAAATAGAAAGCTTACAATTAAATATGAATTCAATGTCGAAAGAACAACGAACAATCCAAATCCACGAGTCAAATCTTGGTGTTTTCACAATCCAAGATCAATTCCAAGTGAAAGATAAGAGAAAACTGAGTTCTGGGGTAAAAAAGTACGAGAGCCAACTCAAAACCTAAGTGGAACGTCCCCCAAAACTGATCAAAATCGCGAAATAAAAATCCTGCTGTCGCGACCTCCGCGGCCGCGACTTCCTCCTCCGCGGCCGCAGGATTTTCATTGCTGAAATTTGGGACCTGGCAGTTTTTCTTCGCCGCGGCCGCGGCGAAGAAAGGGTCGCGGCCGCGGAGACCAAAATCTGCACTGCACCATCTTACGATTTTTGCTCGTTCGGGTTCGTTTTAACTCAGAATTGAGTTCCGTTTTTTCCTACGTGTCGCTAACGAACCCCTCTATCTAATGGTGTCAGCTTCCCCACAAGATTCTCGAAAACCTGTTCTCCCGAGGTCTTCAAACTACACACCAAAAACGAAAAGAGAACAGAAAAAGACCGGAAAACAAACGGAAAACATCGCAACACTCAAATGAACGCAAAACACATAATAAATGACAAAATGATCCTAAAACCATCTAAATGACTCAATATGAGGGACAAAATAACAACGAAAAACGCAACAAAAATGGGACAAACAGTAAGGATATAAGATTAATAAACTATAATATATAAAATGATGATCTAACATAACCAAATATAAATTAAATATACTTTTGATTTCTTAGAAATATTTTCTATTGCCCCTTGTTGACGTAATTTTCGAGGAGCTCATTTTCTTTCCACGTGGTTTGGATCAGAAATTTTCGATCCCAAAGTTTTATCCACTCCTTCGTTAACTGAATCTACCAATATAATTTGGTTCAAATTATATTTTCCTTCACTTCTTTGATCTATATTCATTCAACCCAAATCATTAGATACATATCCAATCCACTCTATAAGTTTACCTACTCTCACATCATCATTCGCCACTGTGTCAGCCACCGCTGCAAAAGCACGACACAAATGATCATATCGTAATTGATCAAGTGTCGAGATCAAACCATTATAATTTATCTTCACCCTTTGGTAGGACCTACACACATCTCTCCTCCACCTCCTCAATATATACATTGCGAATCAAAACTATGATAGCATGTTGGCAACTTATCCCTCGAAACTCAAATATATAACAACTACAAACTGTGTTTCCCGATTCCTTTTGATTTTGAACAATGTAGATTTTTTTTTTATATATTTTCTTTATTGAAAATAACATCCTCTTGAACCATGTGTTTTGTCCCCATAAGAATTTTTCAGATCCATCCTCATTGGATATAATCTCACTGTAAATGTAAACCATACCTGTGAATTGAGATTGAAATTCCTTGAACTTATTGATGATGTAAATGGCTTTGAATTGTTTTCCTAATTCATACATAGTAGCACATGAGACCATCGTCGAATATGACTTATAATCAGCTTGAATTTGCTTTTCCATTACATAGTACCCTCTCGTATTATTTAACAAACTGCTTCAATGTTGTTTTTGCATTGACATATCCATACAAAAATGCATTGATACTCTCCTTATGTTGTGTTGTCGACATCCTTGCCTAGAAACTCGTCTTCAAAAAACACAGAACTCAGCGGTTTCTTTCACTATAGAGGCTAAACAACCACTCATTCTCTTGTAGTTCATAGAAGCGAACCATATTAATCAAACCCTGCTCAAACTCTTATGGACTTTGAGATTCATAAACCACTTCATGAATTGTCAACATGATAGCACCTTTGTACAGATGACCGCCAAATTTTTTCAGGCAACTTTTTTTGTATATGCCACAAAAACACCATCGGTGTCCCATGTTTGGAAAAATTGTTTGGATTGCATTTTCGTTGCTGTATCTTGGTCAGTTATTATTACAATGGGAGCGTGTCCCTCCATACACTCAATCCATGTTTTAAAAATCCATACAAAAGCGTCTATATTCTCGCTCGATATTAAGCCACATCCAAACAACGTAGAATGACCATGGTAGTTAACACCTATGAAAGGGGCAAATGGCATCGCATACTTATTTGTTAAATACGTTGTATCGAACATCACTACATCGACGAACTCTTCATATGATTTTTTGCACCAATTATCAGCCCAAGATATGTTTTTCAACCGAAACTCCTCGTCTAAGTCAATGTTAAAGTAAAAACCAGGACAATTCGCCTACATTTTAGAAAAAGAAAGATTGAATTGCAGCTAGGCAAAATTTCAAAATTGGTCATATAACTTGGTCACTGTCCAAAAACTCACCTCGCCATTGACCACTTTCAATATGGGTTCTATAAATTGTCCATTTAATCAATTTTGGTCCTTTTTTATTCGCACTCTGGATAAAAATGTGACGTGACGTGACGTGTCATGTTTTTTATGTGACGTGGCATGACGTGGCGGCTTCATTTGTATTTAATTATTTAACTATGCCATGTAGAAATAATTATACCAAAATAAATTAAAATTAAAAAATTAAACCAAAAAATAAATTAAATCTAAAACACGATATTAAAACCAAAAAGAAAAAAAAGAAGTGCGTCGTCGTTCTACACTCATTCTGCAGGATCTCTTCTGCCGTTTGCCGTCACTCCAGCACATTCGCCGGCCAATCAGCCAACGTTCCCTTCAGCAGCCCGCCGCCGGTGTCTAACACCAGGCATTCCGTCTGCTCAAGAGTCTCAAGAGAAAAATTTCAGATTTGTTCAATTGTTGAATTGTTTCAATTGTGATTTGCAACTTCAATTGGTGGTGATTGCAGCTTTGTTATGGCTTTGTTTTAATTGTGATTTTAGCCACGTTCAGATTTGCCATTAAATTCAGATTTGCAGCTCCACAGCAACTTAGCAGTCTTAATTCAAATTTGCCTTTAAATTGTGACTGCGGTCTTGAGATTGCAGCTTCTTCATGACTGAGTCCAACACCAGTGGTCGTGGTAGTGGTGCGATGGTGGTCCGAAAAACGCCTTCAACAGCTCTGATTTGTTCTTATCGATACCCACCGAAAAAACGGGTTGCCAGAAAATTCATCGATTCTGGAGATGGTGGACGCCGTCGGGTGCGCAGCGGTACAAGGAGTCCAAAGGTGTCACCGAAATTCGGTGGGTCGTCATGAATTGCCGGAAATTAAAGAAGAAGATCGAACGACGGCCGGCGACCGGCGAACTACGGCGGCCGAGCGGATGGGTGAAGAAGAAATAGTGTTTGCGTGTGTGTGGGGAATTGCAGGGGCTCACTTTTGAATATTTATTAAATTTTATGGACTATTTTACAATTTTAAAAGTTGTAATTAATTGCAAATAAGGGCTAGGGCTGATGTGGATTATTTAATTTTGAAGTCAATATCTACTAATCCCGCCACATAAGTCACAATCACGCCATGTCTTGTTTAAAAATGCCATGTCACATTTTTATCCAGGATTCGGATAAAAATGGATCAAAATTAATGAAATTGACAAATTATTAGACCCAGATTAAAAGTGGTCAATGGCAGAGTGGGTTTTTGGACTGTGGCCAAATTATAGTATCAATCTTAAATTTTTGCCATTGCAGCTGCATCCCTTTCGCCGAGTATCAAACGCTAAACCTTAGCAATATAATTTCGACAATCCTTTTCAATAAATAACATCTTTTCGTACCCACTAGCCTCTACAACAACAGAGTTAAAGCTTTATTTAAAGGAATTCCAGCTACGTCATTCACCTCAAGTCGTCGTTTAATATTGGCGCTTAACTGCAGATGGCAACGATATAATCTTGATTTGGAAAGAGTATAGCATGATTATGCTCAAAATAGACACCTGTAATTTTTCATGTCCCAGTAATATACTAACAACCTGTCAACCGAGCTTCACTCTCATTTTTAATGGTGGGTTGTAGTAGCAATTGATTTAATTCTTTGTCCATCTCGGCTACAAGTAAATGTTGCATTTTTATGATATTGTCTTTGTCTTTCCTATAACTTCTCTTTCTAACTGAAAAACCCACACGAGCGACGTACTTTTTTTAAAATTCAAATACACAGTAATTTCGAACTTCATTCCAATCACTGACACATATTTTTCATCTTCATTGGGCAATCCAACGTGCAATTCAACAACATCCCTTATAACTATCTCAATATCTTTTAGATACTCATTTTCCACCAACGTGCAATTGAGCTCAGAAACTTGATTTCTTGCATTATGAGAATTATTATTAGATAAAACAATTCTACA